ACATTCCCATCTCCGTTGCGTAGGAGTAAGCGATGCGATCCGCTATCGTGATGTCTTGCATGCTTTCATGCTCAAGAAAAAGGTGTGCACCATCAACAGGGTTATAAGAGTTACCTTCTCTTCTGAGTTAAGATTCTATACTCCGAGTTCATGTTCTGCTGTAACCCATAGTTTGGTCGATCAACCTGAGCACCCTCGTCTGGATACCGACGGGTGTCGATCCAGAGCAGCTTCAATTAAGAAGAAACAATTGGTCTCCCCAGTCTGACAACGTTGATCCTGTACGGTAGAGCATGGTTCCATTGCTCGCTGTACTGAGCTGAGGCTTCGTTACTTCTAAGATTACTGCAGTGGATTGTCTGATGATTGCAGTTTTATGTCCCGTGAGGCTCCAAGCTACTTTCAAGCGGCTGTTGATTCAGAAGTCAGTGTCTCCATCCTCCTTTTATTAAACACTAGTATGAGTGCTTTTGCGTAATCCTCTTACAATTTTCCAGACTCCATGACCGTGGGATCTGAATGATTCTTCTCGATCTTCCGGTTCCCCGGGAAGAACTCCTCTCCTGAGTCCTGTCTGATGGAGAATCGCCCAGGCCTCACATCCATGGAGATCGTTCGCATCGTATTCTATAGGGACTGACACAAGGACGGAGCAATTCGGTCTTCTCTGTTTTGAAAATCGGCTGCTGACCTTAAGATTTAGAGATATGGCTGTACAGCAGGTGTTTTGCACACGGTAAGCAAAATGTCGTCGGTTGTTTGCTGTCAAGGTTTGGGATGCTTAGAGGGTTTGTCGGCGTTGGTATTGGATGGGCCATCATGATGAACAACTGTGAGAAATTCGTGATGGAGTGAGTCAAATGAGGAATCAATCATCTAGCAGCATGTACAACAGGAAGTGTAAAGGGGACTACTATGCTATACATGATGGAGAAGATCAAACCTTGCAACGCATGCTGCCGTACCGACATTCATCCGGCGTTAAACTTAAACTCATGAAAATCAATCACAACCGACATTCAACGATTATCAACCGTGGAAAAAGTTAAGCCAAAAGTCGGTTTGATTTACTGCGTGAAGTTACCACCATTTGCTGTGAAGAAGGCACTTTACATCAACTTCATGGATCTCATGGTCGCGCCAGTGATGCTTATGCTTTGAAAGCTTCTCGAGACAAGCATCAAGAGAATTATATAGCAAAAAGGATGGGGAGGCCCCATCAAGCGGAACATACATGCAATGAAAGGAGGAAGATGGGGCTAGCTCCAATATCTTGCATCTGCCTTTTAATGTTTCAGTATTGCTCCCTTGACTTCCTACAATCTTTTGGGACCATTGAAGAATTTGCACGTGGTCTCTCAACAAAGAGGGGTCTTCCTTAACCTGAGAGCATGTATTTGCACCTGAGAGCTAAATCTGCGATACAATCTCGAGGAGCCGTAAAGAATGTAAGAGCATGAATCGTCGAAGGGAAAGTGTCACACAAACTTCGGACGGGGATGGCGGCACATGATTTGAATCATGCAAGACCTTTTTGGGTCCCCTTCCCAAGTGATGGGAAAAATCACGTGGCGTGCTGCTAGAACTTTCACATTGGAATGGTCGCAGTTTCTAATGAGTTTTGCACCTTCAAGAGAAATATTTGTGTGCTGGATGAGTGTTGTAGGAGGTGGATGGTGGAGATGCATGGCCTGACGAAAAGATCTTGGGGAAAAGCACAAAGATGGATGGTCGTCTGAAGATGATATCACAAGAAAAATGTATTGCAATTTTTCGAAATAGACAACGGAAGTCACTTGGAGATGGGGCAATCCGTGGTACTGTAACTCGTTCCCTCGTTATGTTCGAGTCAAGTGTTCAAGTACCAAAATTTTCCTCGGATTGTGAGCTTGGGAATGGGATAGAGCTTTAATGAGTGTTCCCATGTGCGAAAAGCCCAAATCTAGGGACAAGGCACTATCTCCTGCACATTGCCTTAAACAACAATATAAGAAAACAAACTTCTTATGTACTGAGCTGTTACTACAACGAAGTAGCTCAAAAGTGAACTTCAATAGGCACCAAGCTCAACAGCTTCTAAACTGTTAAAAATCAATTGAAAATGCACAGATGTGTAGTCCTACAAGACTATGAGCATGAGCATCTGCAGATGGAACTGCATATTCCTCTTCCGAATGACGGTCTGTGTCAGGCTAATAAACCTATGAGGCAAAGGGGAGGACATTAAATCCCGAAGACACTTTCCCTCCTTTGCCAGGAGCTCTTTTTCAGACCATCTTTTTGCACATTACTGCGTTAAATAATCAGAAAGCAGGAACTTGATCGCTAGAGACAACCTTACTCGAGTATTCGAGAGAGCATCTTCATATCAGATTGATGTTCTCCAATAATTCCATGAAGTATAGGAACGTGTTTTCCTTGTAGGTCTCGCACCCAAGCAGGCAGATGTCGAGCCTAGCGTGTCATTCAGATTACGTCTTTCTAGGGAATGCAAGGCACCTAGCACAGTTCGAGAACTTTTCCATTGGCAAGGCAAAAAATGCGCTAGCACGCAGATGTCCAACACATGGATGGTCCTTTGAGATCCTCGTCGGTATTCATTACTACCATAGCATCATTGGAGGAAGCTGAGGTCTTTCGTTTGAACTTGTTCTGACTTGTTGTCCGAAGGAACTATCATTAAGCCTCTGTACATGGAATCATGCTGCATTCAAAATTTGAAGACGAACCTAAGTTTGCTAAGTGTCTAGAATCGAAAGCATGCATACCCTTGGAGCATGTTAAGTTTCGTGAAGCTGGTTACTTAGACTGTGATTGCATTTATACAGCCGCATATTACAGATGTTCGTCCAGTATTTTAGGTGTTTCGCTGTCTTGCTTACAATGTCTGGATTTGTTGTTGCAGAACCTGACTGGTAGAATTTCGTCTGTCATTTTCCTAATTGACGACTGTAGAGAAATCAAGTTATCAGATCCCCTGGGGTTCGGTGGGAAAAGGCATATCTAAATGCTTCCACCATGACTAAAATATACTCCCCATCGAGGATGAGACATGAAGAAAAGAGAAGAGATAAATGATAAAATATATGGCCGTTGCCTTTGCCTGCGTGTTCGTATTGTTATCCAGCCAAAGTTTGGAAACGTGAAACGAAATGGCAAATGTGCAGGAAACAGCGGAGAACGTCATGATGAAGAGCAGATAGGGTAGGGAAGAACTAAGGACTCCTTTCATTCTCAACCGGACGCAGGTGCGATGATTTGGTGTAGGCACTGAGTACCTTTTATTTCTCACTCGTTCAATGTACAAGGACGTGGGCACAGTACTCAGTAAGTCTAATTGTTCTCTCGTTGTAGTGTGCCATTGGTGTAAAAACGAGGCAGGCGAGAACGAACTGCGTGAAATTTGAAGGAGGAAGACGGGAAACTCCAGAGAGTGCTGACTTCTCTGGCAAGGAAGAGCAGCACTCACATACTAGCTCTAGCTGAGCTGAGCTGAGTCTAGCAAAGCCCAACAAGCGAGTACGGATGGCACCTCCATGGACATACAGTACAGATCCGTCCTTGGCCACCGACCGAGCTTTTGATCAGTAGAGTTGTGGTTCATACGTACTCAGTACATAAGAATACGCATGTAGAGAGTTACAAACGGGCTGCCTCACATGTTCAGAGTACTGTTACAGTAATGGTTAGTTGTTCGCTTCTGCGAATTCTTGTGATTCCGTTAAAAGGTGCATACTGTATACGTACAAGGTGTGTTAAACTGGTCCTTTTGGTCGTTTACCGAAACTAGTTTGAGCTGCGCACCAACTTCGTGTTTATCACCATAAGTGCAGCTTGTGAAGACAGCCTCTATCGTCCTTACTTTTGATGCAACGTGAGAATTAAACACCCCAACGCTCATCTCATCGGAAAAACATCGAGGAAGTATCCTCATTCCGAAACTCTCATTTCTCATCAGGTCTCATGTCAAAAGTTAGCGCGATTAGGAAGTGCATTTCTCACATCTTCGAAGGCAACGTGAATTCCGATCGTGTAAATTCGTCAGGATTCTAACTCAGAGAACACAGTGGAGCTGATGCTGGGACTCACAATCAGAGAACCAATCACAATGATGTATGTCACTGTGTCGAGTGCCGTCTTTACGGTATTCACAGAAACATACGTACTCTGTAGCCTAGTAAACGTGTTCTGACTACTGCAGTAGAAGTCAGTTCAGACCACAGTCCAGAAGCCAGGGTCAAACCGCCAAACCGTTCTGAAGACTTGCTGCCTCTTGTCGAAGAAACTCACACGAAGCACTCCCTAGAGCTCGTGATGCAGAGATTGACCTGACACAGTTTGCGCATCAGTCGACCAGCGAGAGAGAGATCAGAACCTTCGACCATGGCAGCGGCAGTGGTAGAGTCCCTACTGCTGGAAATCTTTTTTCCAACTCTTCGTCGTGCATGGCATGCTCCGACGTTCTCCAGATTGGAGGCTCTGACAGAGGGCGAGGTGGCGGCAGATGAAGAGTAAAGAAAGTGAAATTTCCTGATGGCCTAAAGTAACTGGTCACTGGTGGGTCCGTCGGTGGCGAGTCTCGCTTCTGTCCCAGGTCGAAAGTTCATCTCGGCCCAGGGGAAAGAAGTTTGGCCTACAAGCAGATGAACGTAGGATTACGTAGGAATCCCATGCTGCATGCATGAGGGACGAAGGCCGAGCGCCCGGATGATACTCCGGGGTCGAAGGAAGGCTCTTCTCAAGCTCAACGCCGGTGCCGATCATGGTACCAGGCTCTCGGTCGGTCAGAGGCTCAGTAACACAGAGAATCCTGATCGTATGAATCAATTGCCGTCGTCATGCACCCCGTGCGAGCAACAGCTCGGCTTGGCTTCTGAGAGAGCTTCAGACTTGGCACACGACATTTGGTTTGCGCCTGGCGGCAGCTACGGACGGCCCCAGCGAAAGGCAGAGACTCCTAAGCGAGAGAGGCACACAAGAGCCTCGGCCAGGATTACAGTAAAGACCATCAGCGTCCGTCTGACCATGACTGACCTGCCTCGCCCTGAGCAGAGCTGACCGGCCACTGTGGCACAGCAACATCATTGAATGCTACGTTGCATACTCTCTCGATGGGGCATCATAATTTCCGTGCCTGTGCATGGCTGCCAATGCTGCCAATGCTGCTGGAGTGCTGAGTCGGACGATGCTGCTGCAAGAATATGTACGAACGCTAGCTCGACCTTCTAATTCCATAACATCAGAGTTTGTCTCGACCGCAGTCATAACTTCCGTCGCACTTTGAAGCCAAAAGGCGACCAAATAAGAGGACTGAATTCCGGAGGTCCATCCTGTCTCATCGAGTACTCACAACACGAGCTGCACAACTCGATGCTTATATTATGATGCTGCAGCAACTCGTCGGTTGCTCGCACCCCAAGTTTGTTGGGGCCTTTTCTCGGTGCCTCCTGGTGCTCGCGCTCCCACCGCAGTGCTGCTCGATGCGGTGAAACATTGCGCGGGACTGAGAACAGAAGGGAAGAGCAGCAGACTAGAGAACGGAAAGGAAGCGACGAGCAAGAGCGAGACGGGAGGCAGGGATCAACCTCGGGTCCAGGCATTAAGCGATCGAGGACTCTGTCACAGAACGCGCCAGCTGATCATCTCGTGGAGAAGAGAGGTGAGGAGAGGAGCAGAGAGCAGCAAGGAGGTCGGTGGCCTCCCTAAGCTGACCGGTCGAACATGCGACACTCCTGCACATCAGCAGCTCGAGTACAGGAGCTGACAGTGTAGGTGCAGACGGATAAGAGGCTGCTCGACCAGTCAGAAGTTTCACCGCCACTTCCAATTCACGATGTACTTCGCGTGCAGAGCTGCCAGGCTCATGGGACTTGCCACAATTGTCTTGGCACTGCTACTGCTTCTGCCCGAGAGCTGGACAAGGGGAGCAGCAGCTCAACCCACAGGAGGCTTGCGGGAAGGATTCTACAGCCAGAGCTGTCCTCAGGCAGAGTTCATCGCCCGTCAGACTTTGCAGGCCAATCTGTTTCTCGATCTCACCGCTCCAGCTGCACTCCTCCGGCTCGTTTTCCACGATTGCCAAGTCCAGGTTTACTCCTCTGCTTCGATCACCCGAGAGCAGTTCTCTGAGAGTCTGGTCCGTCATACTTGCTTGTCAATGGGATCAATCGATACATGGGAATTAGCGACTCCAATCCCTGACCCTCGGTGCTAGACGTACCGAAAGCCGTGCATATTCTCGCTGCATGAAGTGCATGCAAATTACAATCATCCATCCTCTGCCATTTTGCTTTCGTGTTCTTCGGTCACCTGTCTTACTCACAGACCACTCGCAAGTTCGCAAGCTCCCCAGAAAGGTGTCGATAATACCGTCGACACCATCAAGCGACAGCAGTCGAGCTCGAAGTTCGCTGCTTACAGTCGCAGAAGATTGACCGGAGTTGACTGACCTGACCTGACTTGGCCGTTGGCCTGATTCCTCGGGCCCACCAGTTTTGGTCCAACTGCGACTTTCTTTCGGCGCAATGGCCATGCACGAGAGTACGTGCAGCCGACAGTCCTCATGACAGTTCTCAGATAATGATAGAGAACTCCTTCAGATTCCTCTTCTCGTTCGAGCAACCAAGTGCCCGACTGAGTCCGCGTCCTCGTGAGGCTACCCAGACAGAGCTTACGTCCGTCTCGGCAAGAACACAATCTCGTTTTGTCCTCGTGATTATAGAATTACTCTTCTCGTGCACCCAGTCAGATATTTCGTGTGTGTGTGCGCCACATTGGAGCTCTGAGACAATTCTCGACAGGGAGTAGATTCCTCTCATGGACTGGTCAGTACAGCTGCAGGTGCTCCGGATTCGAGTTTAGGTACAAGGTCACAACGGAGGTATGGTGTGGTATTCCTCACATATCGGAATCTACGTGAAAGCTGATGAGAGTGTCCCCTGTTTTGCTTTTGTTTCAGGGATGTGATGGTTCGGTTCTTCTTCAATCAGACTTCTCCGGATCCATCAAGTCAGAGTTGTTGTCCGACAGGAGCTTCGGGATTCGTCGCTTGGACTTCATTGACAGGATCAAAGGCTCTCTGGAGGTGGCATGCCCCAACACCGTTTCTTGCGCGGACATTATTGTTATGGCAGGCAGAGATGCTGTGGCTCTGGTAAGCAAAATATTGAACAAGTAGATGAATTTCGAGTTCTGTGAACTGCATTGGTTGCTCATGACATGTCTCTGAAATGAAGGCCACCGGACTAATTGGTGTGGGACAACTAGTGGGAGAATAATCAGAAGGAATCGACTACCTTCAGGTAGTCGAAAGCCTCAATTTGATGCAGCCTGAGAGGCTGAAACATAAACTTTCTTCAGTTTCTAGATTGAGACATTGAGAGTCCTCAGCGTCAATTTGTATTGCCTTCTCAGTTACAAAGATAGCAGCGCATGCCAACAGATGCTGCGAGTGTCTTTCCATTCTTAAGTCGCATGCCATGTCTCCTCCTGCAATTCAGACCTCTCATTACTCCAGACAGAGAAAGACATTTTAGGCCTGTAGTGTAAGAGTCACAGCAGGTCTGAGCACAAGGGCTTCGTTCTTTCTGATAGATGTGTAAGTACGGGCCGAAGAATTTCAATCTCGTTCTCTAAATTTGGTCGTTGAGTTCAGTCTGGAGGGCCCTTCATGCAAGTCCTACTCGGCAGGAGAGACGGATTCACCGCCAACAACTTTCGAGCTGATTCAGAACTACCAGCTGCTACTATCAACGTGGACGGGCTAATCAATGTCTTCGGGCCCAAAGGACTGACCCTCGAGGAGAGTGTTGCACTCATAGGAGGTAAGGCTTCAGCATGTGTTGTGCAAAGCCCACGTCCAGGTGATGCATACTGGACGTGGATAACACAGACCTGGTCGATGCATGAGAAGACTCCACGCTTTTGGTCTCCGTAATTTAATGACTGCCTGCTTGCCGTAGAAGCGATTCCTGGCTCAAAGATTTTCGTAAGCTTCAAGGATGGAGCTGATTTCTCTGCCCAGCAAAATCTAAGGGTCTGTCTTTCCGTTGCAGGTGGTCATACTCTGGGTGTAGGACACTGCGTTAGCTTCATCGAGCGGTTGTATCCGCAAGTCGATCCGGCCATCAATCCATTCATGGCTGGTACCTTGAGGCTCCTGTGTCCAAATCCCACCTTCTTCAACAACATAACCTTCTCGGCCAATGATCTCACGAATGTCCTGTTCGACAATCAGTACTTCAGAGATTTGACCATAGGCCGAGGTCTTCTGACGATCGACAATGAAATATCCAGAGATCCGAGGACGTCAGGGATGGTGAGGTATTTTGCCAGCAATCAAGGTTACTTCTTCCAACAGTTTTCCTCCGCGTACAGGAAGCTCACCCAACATCAGGTGCTGACAGATGGCGCAGGGGAAATCAGAAGAAACTGCCACTTTGTGAACGCAATCCCTCAACAACCTCCTCCATTCCCGTTCCAAGCTCCTCCATTCCCGTTCAAGCCTCCTACATTCCCGTTCCATCCCAGCGATACGACTCCTGCGTCAAACTTCAACACAGACCCAACGATACCAACTGACCCAGCTACTACTGACACACCTTCTACAGCTACCACTGATATACCTTCTACCGATGCGATCGCTCCACCATAAGCATGACTATAATCTTACCTACCATGGCCTCCTTGTGCAATGTAGAATTCTCCCTCGACGCTTTGGCCCTCTTCACAGTCAAATCTTTCTCCGTCCCCTGCTCCTTCTCTTTTACCACCTTCTTCAAATCAGAATTACTGTAATGCTGATTCGCCGAGCACTCAAGTGCTCCTGTTAAGGACCTGACGTGTTTCGCCTCTGTAAAAAAATTTGTAGTTGCCATATGACGGCCGGCAACTCTCAGCAGTTACAAGGTGCTGTCACTACAGTGGCAGGGGGGTTCTGTTCCGCAGGGCCGACTCACTGTCCGGTGCTCAGAACCTCTGATGAAAAATATGTGTACATGCTCATTATACTGAGAACAGTTTTCACCCAAAGGTTGTGTACAAGGTTTTACATGGTCTTGATTTCTGTGCGAGTCAAACGGACGATCTCTCTAGAAAGCGTACACATCGCCCTTTGTACTGATGATCTGTCATTGTTGTGGAAATCTGAATGTTCTTCCATGGGTTTGTTAAGAAAGCACACACACTGGGACTTCAGCTATTGCTTAGAACTTTAGTTGTATCTCTGGATCATGGAAGGCACGCCATGTTGTTCTGCGAGTTCATCGCCCAATGAATTATTCACGTTCCTCCAGAACCGCCTCTTCTGTAGACTGCGAAGTCGACAAACTTGGTACGTTTGCTGCTGTAAATTATAGATTTACTCATAGCAAGACGTCACAGCCATGGAGGACTTCTGCTCCCAGCCATACTTTTTTCTGTGCAATCGGGCAAAGCAACGGATTTATCACTCTAAAAGACCACGTGTTTTCGCGAGATATTTAGTGCACAAGGCTCAGGTCGATTTCGTCAAATATTTTTCTCTCTGTTACGTGTACATGCGTGTTTCTTGCTCTGAACTCTGCAGGACAATTTTTCTTTACCAACATAATTTGAGCTCGGTGTAAACACTGTGATCCCAGCGGGCTTGCAGCCGCTCGGCAAGAAGTAGGTGTTTTGTTGGAGGCTGGTTACATTTCTCAGAGGATGCCCGACGTGTGATAGTTTGGTGAAGACGGCCGGGTCTGCAGGCGTTCATGAATGTCTGCAAAAGGCTTCACGCCATAACATGCCTGAAGGGGCAGGAAAAATGAAACCTGTGATGGATCAGCGTTTCTCTGCGGTGACAGAGGAGCTTGCGTTTCGTCTAATAATTACCTATATGTGCATCGTGTGCATTTGTACATCTTTCACAATGTGGTCCACGAAAGAACGCTGTGACTAGATCAGATGCCGACGTGAGTTCCGCATCGTCAGTTGCATTTATTGTCTTCAACAAGATTCCGTTACCAAGAGCTTGTACTGGAATTTACACCCACAGTCGATCATCTGTCGTACTTGATCCCCATTGTCGAAGCCTCCTCTTGACAGATAACAGGAATGTGATGCATTTCCCTCCAGGCACGCATTCTTCCAATGCTGTAACTCGTTTCACGTTCCTGAGTTACCTGTCCTCAGAAAAGGAGTATAATCAGCAGGAAAAATTTGCGAATCTTTGTAACATGTTGAAATAAACAGTACGATTGTAGCCGAATTTGGTTTTACTCTTGTTGCTTGCCCTTCTGTGCTTTCGTTGAGATTACATTTTTAAAGGTTTTAACATCATTCTGGAAGTTTGATCCATCAGTATCATCCCTAGTTGATGTTTGTATAAAGGAAGTTAGTGTGGAAGTACTAGAACCTTGCAATTGTGATCCTTATACCACACTCACTATTCGATTGAGAAAATAACAACAATGAAAGATCATAACACTCTATAAGACATACCCCGCTACTTGAATTTATACCAACTGATAACTTCAATAACTTTTATTAACAGTTCAATAACTTCTCTTTTCAAAGCCAACATTAAGAGGTGGGAAAAGTCAATCAAAGAATTGGTGGTTCGCAAGTTTTGATTTTGTTACATGAGGCTTTACTAGGATAAAAGCTTATCACCCAACTATCAGTTGCAATTTTGAACCTCGACAGTGGAATATCCATTCATAAACAATGACGGTTGAGGAATACTCAGTCCCTAAGGTAACCTTACCGAATAACCAAAACTAATTGTAGATAACTAGTCATTGTAAACTGAGATATGAGAATCTAGTCAAAACAGTCAACAAGTGCTAAAATTCTCGCTCTCATATTAGTCTGCAACATTTTTAACTGTATGAAGAAGAAGAAACATTGTCATCTCTCTTACACTCTATTGGTTCTTTTCTCTTGAAAGTGCTTTGATCAACAAATTAAGTTCACTATAAAAATGAATTTGCTCTATCTTTTTTTGACCATATGTTAGACTTTGTTAGCTCTAGCTCAGTGAAGAAATAACTATGTCAGAATATTTACAGTATTCAATATTGATCAAAAAAATATCAAAATAAAAATGTTCTTCAAAATAATATAATCTTTGAATATGAGTCTATCCTTTTATGAAAGATAGACTCATATGCATATTAATTTGAAACAGTCGTATACATAGTGTTTTTGTTCACTAATTGGAACATATTGTTACTTAAAATGAATTTACACACAATGCATATTCATGAATTTTGAATTTGTTTTTGTTTTATTTTGTAATGTTACATATTTATTTTTAAGTAAATTTAAAATAATATAAATTATATTTTAACATTAAGAAAAATATCTATTGAGTTAAATATGATATTCCTTGCAATTTTATTTTTCTCTTGAAGTAAATTAAAATTTATTTATTTATTTCATTTTTCCAAAATCACATAGGTAAAAACATATCTCTTGATTTTAATATTTCTTCAAATAAAATTTGAAATTAATTTATAGACAGTGAAATTAATCTAAATACTGAATAAAACTTATAAATTATTAAAAAATACTGAATATGTGAAATTATAATTTAAAAGACTAAAGAATAAATTTTACTTCGTTTAAAAATAAAAATTCAATTCAAACTAAATAAAAACATCACAAACCTTACGTCAAATTTCTTAAAACAAGAATATGTCAAGATTCTTCTTACTTTCATTCATTTTGAAAAGAGTTGTGTGGTATGTTTTGATATGGTGAACAAATTCATGGCCAAAAACTCCTTCACGTGAAGTTAATCGTTCCTATGCTATATTCTGTCGATTTGAAATTCAATCAATAACTTGGTTCGAATTATCAATTTGTGATTACTTTCTGGATTATTTTTTCTTTCATAAATATGTATAGTTTAGTCAACTGAATCTAGTAGCTACATACCAATAAAATTTTCATTGTATTGACATGAATTTGTTGTAAATTTGCAAAATATATTTTTCATTTTTTCATCTTGATTTATTTGTTAGATATTCTTAAATAATCACTGACAGTAAAACTAGAAACACAATGAGTCAAGACACGAAGATGTAAAGTGTATCACCACAATAGTCTACGTCCACGGGGAATTGAGTGAGTGAGAGTGTACTAAATGTTCTGTAATACCCAAACTCTGGGTATAAATATCCCAGCGCGGTGACGCTCCTAGTTATTTTTAGCTAGGACTTGAGGTTACTCTTAAAATCGTAATTAAAATAAATTGATGAAGGTAATACAAATTAAAATTTCATGATACTTTCCTACTGAAGCGTTGCAATTTCTATTTTATTAATCAAAACTGTAAAAAAATGTGTATCAATTTTATCTTAAGCTTTTAAAAAAACTAATTCATTGCCTTGTTTTTCACTTGTAACTAGCCTTGATAAGATTTCACATAAGGAAAATTGAATACTAAAAAATGTACTTAATAGGTTTCAGCTAGTTACAAACAAAAGGTTGAATTTAAAAAAAAAAAACTATAATTCATGATTTTAGAAAATCATTGACATATATGCTGAATTTTTCATTTCATGTTTAGAATTTCGTATAGATGATCTTTCAGCCAATACATCTATATATATCATGCTTCGAAGATAATAATCACATTTTGTCTTACAAAACTATATATCATGTTAGTATTTTATCCTAAACATTAGTTTGAAGTTGGTTATATGGGATATCTTCATTTTTCAAAAAAATTTAGACTGAATGGATCCATTTTATTTGTCCGGGAGTATACACTTTTTATTGAAGAAAGAAAGAGAGAAAATCAAACACCATTTCTGCATTTTTTTGAACTGATTCATTCTGTAGTCAAAGGTAGAAAGATTCATACGGGAGCAACGACTCCTTGAAGAAAAAATTTTCGAACTTCATATAAGAATTCATTGTCCAGCTAAGTTCATTCAACTGGCGTCTCAAGACATTTCTATCAAGTATTTTGCAAAGTTCGAATGTGCCTCGAATATGAGACATCAAAACCCCACGAGAAAACAAACAAACGGTGAGGCGATGTGAAGTAGAACCATGGTCAAAATCCAACTAGAGCCCACTGCATGTCTGGAGAATAATATGTAGTAGCATTTGTTGGACACTAAGCGTACGTTGTTTGGCCGGAATCTGGTATCTGTGAGTGCCGGAAGGCGCCGCATCTCATCATGAGCATCCGTCCGTTGGAAAGTTGACGTGGGCCTCCGATTGCGCGGCAACATCAATTTTCAAACTTGTCGAGGGCGACTTGCCACTTCTTCGGGAAATTCTTCGACACCAGAATCGGTGAACTCTCGTCTCCTGTACGTCAGCTTTCATGCCATGACCCACATGATTCTACAGCTTCGGTACAGCCATTAGTTCACAGCAGGTGCGATCTGGAAGCGGAGTGTTGGACATTGTCGTCTATCCTCGACTATTCGAGAAGTCACCTTGATGATCGAAGATGCTATCAGGCAGTGTGAGAAGAAACGGAGAGAATTGAGCCATACGGAAGGTTGTCCAGATTGGCGTTTGAATTTTTTTATGATTGTGGCGATGGTGCAACAGCGGTGATTGAAGTCGAAGCTTTGGTATCGTAAACAGGGGCCTTAGTATGGCAGGTAGAGGCAGGGGACGACCTAGAAAAGTAACGACGAGCAAGGTGGTAGGGGCGCTTGATTCTGCGCCTTCCGCAACAGGGATTCCAGCATGTGCCATCACGCCATCATGTCCGGAGAACACTGAATTCGCTGAGAAGCGATGCCTTGAGCCCAATGTTGCGAATTCTACAGAGGATATCAATATCGCAGAGAGCAGATCATCTTCACCGGAACTGCCAGTGATTGCCAATGTCACCTCAGCCTCTTTTCCTCATCCTGCTCGGAAAGGAACACAAATCGCAAATCGCAAGCCCTTGCAGGTCCTGCATCAGAATGGAGCTACATCTGCAGTTTCTTCACATCCAGCAGTGAAAGCTAGTGACACTTCTGGGGATCAAGAAAGAGAAATTGCGGTACGGCAAATTTGTGATGCTATTGACGAGGAAGGTGGGTAATTCTCTTCCTTTTTGAAATCTTCAATCTTAATGCGAAGGCCATGTTATCTTTATCCATGTGCTAACCAATTTGATCCCTAGCTAGACTATTAGCCTTTTCTCCCGATGACACGCAGGATGTATTTTTTATGAAAACCTCTCAAATTGTGCTGTGGGCATGTCCAGTGGCGAACAGGTCTAACTTAATCAGAGCTATCGCATCAACGCAGTTGGCCTCTATAACATCGCAGTTGAAGCTTCAGCTGTCTAGGCTGCCTGTTCATGTACAGAATATGCCTCTCCTCGAGTTCTTGAAGTCCTGTCCGAATATTGAGTCCAAAGAAACGGACGATGGTTGGATTCAGCTGAAAAAAGCTTCGCCATGTGCGGTCTTATTGAGAGATAGCAAGAAAAATCTCAGCGAAATTCTCAACAAAGCAAGGGACAATGCTCCCGAGGAGCCCGGCTCTCAATTCAAAACTCCAGGATTCGGTCCGACGAGAACAACTGGTGAGCATGAACTTTTTTCGGCATTTTTTATGTCACGTGGCTGAAAGCTTTAGCTACAGGTACTCCAAATTATTTTTCTCCACGTTATTGCACCAAATTTCTGCTTCAGTTGTGCACAAGGACTTTTTTTCTTGACTTTTTTTTTTTTACTGTTCACTAGGACTGAAACGAGGTCATATGCAATTGTCTTGAATCCAACGTTTCTTTACAGACCACCAGTTTCAGATATTCACAAGTGAAGATCTGAGCTGGCCGGAGTACCATGCTAAGCTGCAAGCCCTGGGACACTTGGGTGGTTTTGGCGTCTCAAGTGAAACCAATCACCAGCCAGATTCTGCACTTGTTTGTTCCCTCTCCACAGCTCTTTCATTATGAACTTTTTTACAATTTCCTTGACCTAATGTTTCAGTCGATTATTATCATATTCTGGACCCTCGTCTTCTTCAATCACTTCTTTAGGCGTACATAGACAGTATCATGATACTAGTCTTGGATAGGGAGAGTCAGGTGTGTTCCAAGGTATGGCATCCATTGTTGCACAGATCTAGACTCGCGTTGAGAGATGTAGAGTTAAAGATTTGTATCCCTATCCACGTTGGTAAGTTTGATTTTAGAGGACATCTTTCATATGGCTCACGAAAGATATGATTTTCCAGAGCTTGAAGACTGGCTTGCTGAGAGGTATGACTCCGAAGACAGTGAGGATCCCAAAAGAAGGAGAAGTGCTGTTATCTGTCAACGGCTCACCTCTAGGACAATTTGGCCTCACTCCAGGTCCTCACGGGGGTAAGGATGTGAATTTGTTGAGTCAAGACTCTTCAGTATGCGATTTTTCATTCTATCGATTCTGAACTCTAACATGAACTTTATCTTATTTAAGTCATTAATTGCGTTATTCGAAATTGCTTCCACAGATAAGTTTGCGAGTGGTATGAAGCCTCGTGGAGCAAGAATAACACGTTCGAGCAAGAAGAGATTGAGAGATTTATAAGGTGTACACTAGTCGTTAAAAAATTCTTGACACTTGGTTCTTGTTCAGATTGAACGATAAATGAAAAGCAAATATGGTAAAAAACACTTGCTTCATCAAAAGTGTTGTCAACAGTGGGATTCGAACCCACGCCCTTTCGGACCAGTACCTGAAACTGGCGCCTTAGACCAACTCGGCCATATTGACTTGTTGGTTGACATTGAATCAGGGCAGGACTGTAGATATGTTGTATTGTTCTCCTGCCTCGCCTCGGTATACTTTAGTACCTGTTCTTCAGAACCATTCTGTCTTTCATATACACCTGCAATGCAGTGCACGCATACCATCTAGCAGGTGGTAAATCAAGCATGGATGTGACACCCAATAGGGTCTGTGATCCATGGCACATATTGTAAGTTCTCTTACACATCATTGCCCTGCTCTTACCGTTTTCATTGGCCAATGATTCTGTATGAATGAATGAATGAATGAAATATGAATGAAAACTGACATAATAATTATGTCAGTTTTCATTCATATTTCAAGCTGTAGTCAAGTTGCCTTAACTTCTTCACGGTTCGTTCTACTTCAAAACGCAACAAGTCATGGATCAATTTCGACATACAAGCGAAGCCTTCTTCTTCTTCGTCGCCATCTTACGAGTGTTGATAGAAGTGTCAAGTTCTAACTCTTGTGTAGCTACATCCGGAATGACCTTTCCATGTGGCGTTGTGCACGACATATCATTCAGAACAAGACATTTGACATTACAATTCACAAACTCATACATTACATTCTACAACATATCTACTCTAGAAACATAGTCGTTGGCCATCTACAGACAGGCATGATTCGCAATCATGCCTGTCTGATGAAGAGACAGGAAGATGACAAGTTGAAGAGTACTAGAGAGAGAGAGACAAAGACAGCTTTTGGTAGAGTAGTACCCTACCAATTGAACAAAAGTTTGTGAATGATGATTTCTACATTCCGGACGAGTAATATTATAAATAATTACATAACTATTCAACATCAATACATTAGATCATTTAGAATTACATTTTCACATACTAAAGTTTTGAGGGTATCAATTCATCTTATCTTAGAGTGTCAAAGTCCCCACTAACTTACCCAAGAAAAAGTTACACCGCCGAGACTAGAACTCTAGCTCTTGAGTTACTAATTAATTTAAAAATATTATGACACAGATATCGGGATGTAGATATCTATAGATTGGCAAACTCGAAATTAGACATAAAAATATGTGTAACTATGTAAAAACAAATGACTACCAAAGAATGCAATGGATAAAAAAAAATTACTTATCTCAAGAATAGGACCGAGATTTTGTTAATACCTTCGGAAGAGTAATGAATCCAAAAAGAAGTTTTCAAAGACAGTTTCGTAGATAAAAGAATTTCAAGAAACTCTTTTATCTGCGAACTCAAATAATAAACATGTAACATGAGTTAGAAGAAACGTGGCTCTTTTCATCATGTTTGTAATAGTCATGACGTCGATGTATGAAGAATGGGCAAGATATCATCCAAAGTACTAAAAATCCTCGCATATCCCATCACATCAAAGATCTACTCACGTGTAGGCATTGCATACTTATCGGACTTTGTCTGCCGATTGATAGGACAGTAGTCTCCACACATGCGCCTATCAATAATGTAGTTGTCATGTACATCCTTCTTCACTGGCATGATAGTAACTGACGCATATTCACCATGTGATAACTCCACCAATTCAGCCTCCAGTAGGTCCAAAGTCCTATTTCGAATCAAATCACTTTCCATCTCACAGTATCGATAAGGACAACGGAAGATTGGCGTATCACTAACCAATTTTATCCGTATATCGGATCCAATCAAAGCACCCAACTCCTTCATACTGAAAGCGAACCAATTCCTATGATCTTGTAGGAATTGTATCAACTGTCGCTTCTCTCAACCTGTGATTTCGAAACCAATCAATGGCTACCATTCCTCCATAGTCACACTAGAGGAATTCGATATTGTCATTGGTTGCTACGCCACATCCTCCAAAGAAGTGGTCTCTGTACCATCCTTTGTAGCAACCTCCGCATGAGAAACCTCTCCAACTGCATGGGCTGCAACTCTGGCAAGTCCTCTTGTCACGTACCATGAACTCCAAGGATGACAAATATCTCGCCTGTCGCACCTAGCCATTGCCACGAATGTCGCGGTAGGCAATGAGCTAGCAAGTGGTGTAACAACCATCAAATCAACGCGCAAACGGCGTTGCTCGGCCAAACCCAAGCTCACAATCCACGTCAAGCAATTCAGGTCCATAGCCTAACCCAACACCTGACGACGCGAAGCCTCTGAAACTGAAGATGATGCGGTTACACCAGTCATAAACCCCATCGCACGCTCTCTCTCGTCAGCGTTGGGCTCCACCAACTAATTACCTGCATAATCCCAGAGTAGCCCAGGTCCACCATCGGGGTAGTTGAAACCGACCGGTTATTCCCACTGAAAAACCCGTCAGTTTCAACTACCCCACTGGCAGCAAACCGTCACCGTCACAAACCCACCTTGAAGAGATTCCAAGTCAACGCTAACGGACCGTAGCTCTACTTGCATTACTCCCAACGCTACAGGCTCGACTCGAAGAACTGACGTTCTTCGAATCGTCTTCGACACTATACCCTTCGTGACCTAAAACCTTAGCTCAACGCTATTTTTAGTAAATACCGAGTTATATAACAAATGTCACAGGTGACCATACCTTTATGAGGATTCTAATTTTGAAGTGAGTTCCTAAATATGACCTCTAATGATAAGAGAGCAAAGAATACTTCCGGGGATACAATGAATTCGGAGATAGTACGCAAGAGATGAACATGATTTTGCAACTCTCGTTCACAAGCAGACGTCACATGTGATGCAACTTAACTATATACAATTGGTATTTACAAAAATATCTTTTGTCGTGCAATTATAAATCTCATCATATACTATTACAATACTCATCTCAATATACATTAGTTCATATGTAAAATAATAAATTTCTTTTAGTTCCAAGATGTATAAAAGCATATTGAAGTCATATCAAATTATGTTTTAGATGTATCAAGATTTTAATAAATTATTTTCTCATCATGTTTTAACTAAGTAAGCATGAATCTAATTTTTTTTTTACTAACATGATCATTGATTCAAAATTTATACAAGAATGTAACAAAGATTTCAACTTTAAGGGCATTCGTGGTGCGAACAGTGTTAGTTGCAGAACAATCTGTTGTAACTGTCGTAATCTTACCACGTCTTATACATACGTATGCCTTTAGATTTATGGCACCATTGCTTTCAAAAATCGATGCACGTAAATCCCATAGATAAGCCAAAACTTGATATAATGGGAAGAGTTTTAGAGCAACAATACTCTTGACTAAGTTTCGAGTTTGGCCACAATGACATCGTTTCCTCGTCTTTGTAGGTATGGATTTCAGAGGCTTGACGTCGGTCATGGTCAAGTTCCTGTGATGAGCAGCCAGGTATTTGAAGGAGGAGCTCATTTCGGTGCAGAGGGTGTCAAAATCTGTCGAATCCTCTACGTCTGGGGAAGATGCAGGAGGACTACATTATGCACTACCGTATGCATGTAAAAGACGAAGAGGCACAAGCTGCTGATTTTTGACCCCATCCTGAGTTGTGGTAGTTTTATGTTCTCAATTTATTTTTTTAAATGCGACTGAATAGAATACACCATCTGAAAAGGCATCGAGTCCGTCCGACACGATGGTACTTGAGTTTTGTAAGGTACTCACATGATTTTGGTATACATGTCGGAAATGTTGATTTCCGTCTGGTGAACTGGATCGTGTGGATACATCACCGGCAGAATTGAGCAGTTTTTTTCGTACATCTAACAAGTAATCCAAGGCATTATTGGAGAAATCTAACTGATCGCAAAGTAAGATGCAGAGATAATTCATCCATGGCTTCGAATTGTATTTGCCTGTATCCTGTAAGTACCCACACTGCACTTCACATGCTGAAGACGATAATATATCATGTTCAGCAGCAAAGATCATGAAATTGATGGCAAGGGGAAGGGAAAGAGATTCGTCTACTTTCTCCGTGGATGTGAAACTTTTTCTCCATCTCCTACTCAGACAATGCCTGCCTAATACATTCACATAGAGCATGCGGATGATTCAACTGAAGAAAAATCTCGACGACAAAAATTCCAACCATCTCCAATCGCAGCAAGTAAAACACGAACATGAATTCTGGAACAATTTGGAAAAATCTCAGATGAGAACTTGCGGATGAAATCTCCAACATTCCTACATCACTCAACGCAAACTACTGAGACAGGTGACACAGACAAAGGAATGTAGCACACATCAATGGCAATAGGCAAAACGCTTCTATGTCTGTAGTATCGTAGGTCATGATTCGTTGCATATTTTGGTCTGATCTTCGGTGGAGAGACTTCTAACTTCTAACCTTTCATAGCTTAGATAGAGGCCATGAGGAGCTAGTTGCCCTTTTGATTGTACAGAAGAGTCTTAATGACTACTTCCGGTCAAGTCAGCTTTGGGGGATTGACACAACACCCATAGACCTACCTTAGCCAGTGTTACCAGTATCTACGGTAGGGCTCGTTCACTGTCGAGCTCTAGTGGATGAGCAAATGAGCAACTGCCACAAACCCCTCCTTTAATTAATCTGGATAAATCTTGGGAAAACAAATTCTTCTCACTATAATCCAACTTTAAGAGAAATGTTTTTACTTTCAACCCCACTCCCCCATCTATTTCATCATGTTCCTTAAATGTTCATGGATAAATTTAGGGAAAACAAATTCTTCTCATTATACTCCAACTTGTAGAAAAGAAATTTGTGTAAGAAGTGTTAAAATGGTTCTTAAAAAATAGAACTGTTTAGACAACGGTTTATCAGCAACAATTTGAAGATGATAAAATCGATTATCCTCGACGTGACTTCAATTTTGTGTAAATTGTTTCATTAGCGACGGGGTAAATAATTTAGGAATCCCTGAAAACTGATCGTCATGATTTCAAGGGTACCGCAACCATCTCCCTGTAATAAATACAACAGTAATGGGATTTCCATGCATGGCTATGGGTAAACTATGAAGCCCACTGTTACAGAGAGTAAGTCATTGCATTTGAGAAGATTTAATTCGATTAAATAGTATACGCACTGCCGTCGATAAGACATGAGTTAAAGAAGCTGCACTGACGAGAACCGCGAACGAGAATGCATAAAAACTTGTAATCTAGGTTCTCATGCATGTTTGTGACTCGAGCTTCTTGGCCAAAACGTCTTTCATCAGTATCCGAGGAATCGTTTAGATTTAGAGCGCGACAAATACTGTACTGGAATTTGCGTAAGAAAAACCATCTCTCTATATTCGTTGAGTACAATACGAATTCATAATTTCTGGATCTATGCATTGCCGGACTTGTTCAATTACGAAGGGGAGGTGGGTAGAGTCAATACCCAACCTTCCTTTGTTTAAAAAGTCTGTCTTGTAACCACATCACAGAGCCCGTTCAGAGTAGTCATGACATACAACTGTGATTTGAAAGCCGGTGCAATTTTCTTCTCAACACTCTGTAGAGCAATGGTCACTCTTTCTGTGGGTTTATAATAAAGTATTGAAAGTCACGTGGTTCTACAAGTAGAGCGATTCGGTATAAGATGGTAGAAATTCTAGTGGAGAGCACATTTAGCTTTTTTCGTTCTAGGCAACTGCTGACCACACGGTCACCCTCTACAGCAACATTCTGAAAATATTATGTTACTACTACTTTCCCTCCATGAAGAGGAAAAACTTTTACGGCTTAATTATTTTGTACAATATACCAGTTTCAATCGCGAACCCAAAGTCAGGACGCCAATGTTAGATATGAGAATTCTTCAATTATTCTTCTTTCGCTTCAATGATTCTTCTGTCCAAAATGATGTTATCTTCCATAGGTGGTTCTTGCAAACAAGGAGTTAAGGTGAATTCTTACAATTCCATAGCTTATGACAAGAAGCAATATACAATCCATTGGTTCATGTTGATTGAATGATTAAGAGAATAACTTCTTGTTCATTGTAAAGAACATTATGAAAGATGAGAATCAAGAGAACCTTATAATGAAGTTCAAGACTTGCCAGCTAGTTTTCTGTACCACCAATCGGTAAAAGAGTACTATCCAACTTCCACGGGATGTTAATCTATTTCTCTATGGATGAAAATAAAAAATCAATCGATTTAGAACTCCCGAGTGAATATGTGCTAGAGCCATGTTATAATGTCGCATACAGTCGCGGCTCCATGGCTAGATTAACCCGGGGCTAAGCTCTTTGTAAATTGCTGCCTTCAATTCACTATAGGTTAAGACTAAGCATACCAATAGTCACAAGATTCATATGGGCTTCTGAGGATTAAAGAATAATTTTATTCAGATCTATAAGACAATTCCCCCTTAGCAACCAGCCTATCTTAATGTGACTGGCAAACTAAAAAGATTTTGATGTGCAATGTACAAAACATACGTAGCTAAAGTATAGTGACCGGTTTTCCACTAACCCTATGGTGCAATGGATAAAGCAACCACTTCCACGAATATTTTCTTCAAGCATTCATTTAAGGATCAAAGACACATTCAAAACCATTGAAACATATTCCAAAATATCGTTGTAATACTATTGTGCTTTTTATTTTAAATGCACCCAACTCAAATATTAAAAATCGTATAGAAAATTATTGACGTGTTCTGCATGATGAGCCCAACAGATAAGATATGCATTCATATTTTGGGTGATATTTTAGCATTCATAACCTCATGACTTGGAGTGTTCAAGATTGCATCCTACATGTCGAGGCCAACCGTTATCATATATTGCAACATGTGGGGAGTGAGAATCAAGGTTGTAAAGCGAGAGAAAATCCAGGTGCTTGTGAACGGGCGGTTGAAATTAAAAACGGTGTTTGAGGCCTGAAACTACGAACCCTCGAGAGCAAGCTCAGGTACTTATTATGGAGTGAGGTGCAAGTACGAGGCTTGAGTCCCATGATAACGAGATCCATGTGCACCTCATACAGATATACGAAATGAAATAATATCCAAGGATACGTGAGGGTGTAAGATCAATGCTCATAAAAGTCATCAACCTGCACAGCGAGAAGGCCCGGGCTTTATAGATTTTATGAATTCTCCATTGCAGTTGCGTATGTGGGACATTCATGGAAGATTGGACACGCAGCATGACAAGAATTCCCTCGGAATCGGTGCAATTACTGTCCAGTGGAGTTCTCCCAAGCAGGTGTTTGGACGTCAAGTCGAATGTACGAGAATGGCGCGTAGATTTGAGTGATATTTGCCGTTCGGTGTCACCGAGAAGTGAAGACGGAGTTAAATGTGGGATTTCAAAGGCCATGCATGACTGGACACTGGACACAGGAGGAACCGCGTAAATACTTGAGTGCTGCGGGACGATCAATGACGATGTGGAGCGCATTCAATTTATTCCTGACAAGGAGGTTGTAGCTTCTGTGATTTGCTGCCTGTCCAACAGCGATGGCTTCAAGCAGTTGCTAACTAGCTAACTAGCTAGCTTGTGGTTCTTGCGAGAACCTGTCAGTGAGGACCTCTCTCGTCCACGGTTTCCTCAGCGCAGGCTACATCTACGAAGGCCGAACTCTGCAAAATGGTGTTGATCGATTCCCCATCACTGCATCCTACGCCACTTCCTCTCAGACAACAATATGGACCGATGAAGTTCGGACCAGCGTCAGGTCTATACAAAATCAGAGATTCTTGTCCTTCCCTACTCGCTCCATGTCCGTAGAAGCTGAGTGTGCATTTCATCAGCCTAGCTCAGCTCGCCAACTTGAGCCACGAAATTTGCTGCGCTCCGGTAAAGTGCATGCGAAGGCTATGACGAAGCCCGCAGAATTTTCCTACACCTGCTAACCATTGGCATTGATTACCGTAAGACAGCGTCCTCGTTATTACGTGTGATTATACAGAACTCTGGTATTGGATCGCTGTGTTCGCTTCGACAGTGGTAATCTTCATTCATAAAATCAGAACAATTGCTCGTAGAAACGCAACTAAAGTGGTTTTAGCTAATTCAAGCATCGTCTTGTAAACTATTTCCATTTTCTAAACCTTGTACGCAGCCAAGTCAGCGGCTGCCTGCTGTCAAATTATGCTCTCCTAGTGGTGGGTGTCACGTAACTGCTCTCTAGCTTTGCCAGTAACGCCTGGTGGGCAGAGGAAGTTGTCCAATGTCCCGCCTTTCGACAATTTTGTCGACGCTCATTTGACATCCGTGATAGTTCCATAGCCAGGATCGGTTTCTATTCGGTACTTGGTTTGCTGTGTGCACTTTCGGTTTCTAGTCCGTATTTGGTTCAAGTGTGGACTATCTTTCCACCTGAAGCCGTCCATTCCTCCTCAATAAAGGAAACCTGTGACGGTTGCAGGAGTGATGGGGTCCATGATGTCAGTCTGGGTCACTGTCATGTCTGTAAGAAATCAGAGCTGCTGGAGCTGATGCAGATTAACGGCAACCATCCCCGCCATCTCCATGAGAGTCAATGCGACCTCGTTGGGAAGAACTGAAAGCTACACTGGAAGAAAGTTTTCTGGAAAAATCTACGCTAGAGTCTCAAATGTACGCTTACCAAACCCCACGCCTGCAGATTCAGCTTGGCATGGGCTGATGCAGCACACTCCTCAGTCGCTGTCAGTGATAAGGAAAACGTGGATACACTTCTCTCTGATGGCATGCAAAATCGTACGCCACCATGTGGCATTCAATGATTCGGAGCTGGAGACTTCAGTTGCTTAGACCTTAACTGACATAACCGACACATGTTATAACTCGAATTCATCATCTGGTACTGAGCGAACACTTCGTTGCTCTGAAATTCACGACAAATCTCACCGATCACAACATCCTGTACGATCAGATTCCGGCAGTCAACCTTTCCTTAGACAGCTGGGCCTGATCATACGGTTTCCCATTGTACTAGACAAGTCCACGATGTGTAATGTGAACCATACCAGAAAACAGGAAATTGCTTCAACCATTCTGCTGTGATCAGATGTTCTTACTGACACTGTTGACTTGCACGTACACATGTAAGTTCAAGCGAGCTTCGGACGGAAATGATGACCGAGTGGCATATGCAAGACTGGCTCGATGTGATGATTCAAGCGAGTGGCATGTAAATCAATGATAGTATTGAACTTGTAACAATCGAACAAAACGCGGCTACATTTACGAGTATGAGCTCTGGAATCAACACCCAAAGATATCACGACCAGTAAATGGTCGACTGTAATGGATGATGATTCAGAAGGGAAGCTAGCTCTCGTTCCTAGCTTCGTACTGTGTGCACTGCACAAACTGATCTTCCCGGATATACAACCTCTGTGAGATTGAACCGCAATTGATGACTGATTGACTGACTGACTGACTGGCGGGATCGCCATGATCCAGGTGCTTGCTCGAGCTATCGAGTTTCATCGCCAGCAACTGAGGCAAGGCAACGATGGGGGCTGCTGCTGACCCCTTTCACCCACAGCTAAATAAAAGTAGTATCGGTTTCACTAGATCAATGCGCCCAAAGATATAGACATTGGTCGTCAGACAGCAGCAGATCTATCTACGATTCCAGAATCGACACAGGAACGAATAAACACTGCTACGAGGTGAGACTGACTGTCCAGAGTTGCTCGTGGTGACAGTCGGGGCCGACGATTATTATTGTTTCGCTAATAACAAGAGTAATGTTACAGAGATACACGAGGCCATTCCTTCCATCGATCAGTCGATCGATCGAGAGCGGGGGCTAGTTCAATCGATGGCAGTTGCGCCGAACCTCGCCTTGCGCTCCTGTCAGCACTCGGAACGACGTCATCTTCACGAAGGCTCGAGAGAAGACGCCGAAGAAATCGTTTTGGTTGGCGGCGAAGCGGGCCACGATGCCGGCCGTGGTGGGGTTCTGGCCGATGAGCGAGTCGATTTTGAAGAGCCCATTGCCGTTCATGACGTCGCGGTAGTATTGGTTGTCGAACACGAAGTTGGTGAAATCGTTCGAGAGGATGGTGTTGTTGTTGAGAAACGCAGCGTTCGGAGTCGGGCACTGCGTTAGCAGCTGCCCCGCCATCAATGGCGACAGCGCCGGGTCCTGCTGCGGGAACAGCCTGTTCACCACGTTCACGCAGTGTCCCACTCCGATCGTGTGTGCACCTGCAGCAATCCGACCCACATTCCATAGCTCTCCGTCAGCAGACAACAACACCAAAAATTCCCGCGCTGCCATCGGAGGACAGACTCTCTGATCGAGCCTTCTCCGATGCCATGACCACGGGACTCGAAATCTTAGAATACACAGCTTTGAATGCAGATTAAGACAGCTGACAATTGGATTGCAGACAGAGTGCAAGGGAAGATTGTAATTACCGATGATGGCGACGGCCTCGTCTGCAGTCATTCCCATTTGGCCGAATTCGTTCAAGAAGGCGGGCACCGAGATGTCCGAGGGGGGAAGCTGCCTGTCGGCGGCGAGGTTGCTGGCGCTGCGGCCATCCTTGCGCCCGAGAGGGATTCTGATGTTCGGTCCACCGGTGAGCCGAACGCAGTCCCTGGCAGCGAGGGCCAAGATATCAGTGCACGAGACGACGCCGGGGCATGCGATTTCGACGGCTGCTTTGATGCTGTCGATGAACCGAAGATCTCTGATTCCGAAGTTCGCGTCCGATTCCAGCTCGCTGACCGCTCCGGGCTGCGTGTCCAACAAGACGGAACCATCGCATCCCTGCGCACCCACAAAATCATCAGTTCCGAATCAGGCGCAGCTGTCCTACGAGCTCAATCTCAAGCTCAAGCTCGAGCTCCATCTCCATCTCAAGCTCAATCTCAAGCACACACGGTCTACTCCTCCCGACAGCGAACCCAGAGAGTGCACCATTTCATAATTTGGATATTTTCTAGCGCAATGACAAAATAATTATTTAATTCTGAAATGGGGAAAGGCAAATCTGCGCAGAGTTCTACTTGCTAAGCTTTCCATGGAAACCCGTGCGTGCGTGCAGACAAGAGCAGCGCAGTCCCCGATCGTGTGCAGGTCATGCATGCACAGGCACTTTCAGCACAAGGTACTCGGATGCGCAGGACATCCCCGCAAGGCAGAGAACGAGCCGCCACTGGCATGAAAAGGCTCTGGATATCTTCGACGTGCATCACTCCCTTCCCTCCCTGACTGAGCCAAATTCTCCTCACTGGGCGACATCACAAGATGCTACTGACTCACTCACTCTCTGGCTAACTCACTGACTTGCTGACTAAAATCCACCACCTCTCGCGCCAGCCAGCATGAGAGCATGCAGGCACGAACGAGGACACTGGACTCACTGCCCCCGACGCAGACGACTCTGCCATGAGATCATCTGCAAGCAAAATGAAGTGAACTGAACTGAGCTGAACTGACTCCTAGGCCAGGCGTAGGCCTCGTCCCGACAGCAGCGTCTGAGATGTTTCGCAAATGGAAAGTCAGAGACAACTCCGAGTCCACCATAATTCAATCCTCTGAGATGGTGATCGTCCCAGAAGGATTGTCGAGCACGCACAGAGGGGCGCAATAGCTGACCGAGACTGGAGCGAGGGCGACGAGCAGGAGGAAGCACTTACATTCACTTGGCAGTCGTGGAAGACGAGACGAACGAGGGCAGCGGGGCCTGTGGGATCTGTGAACACATTGGCCACGAGCCACTGATTGACCAAATTCTCGACGTTGGGACAGCTGCCCACGTAGTAGTTCTGGTCGAGCTGCGCATCGACGCTGGTGGGAGCTTGGGACACGAAGAGCGCTAAAACCACGACGACAATGCGAAGCCCGGCACCACCACTTGCGGCCACCTTTCCTGTCATTGTCAGCTGCGCTGCGCTCGCTCCTAACTGGCCTGGCCTGAGTTCTTCCGCTCGGCCACCACGACTGCTGCTGCTGCTGCGGTCGCTTGGAAACAAAAACAAAAAGTTCCTGATACTGATAGTGCTGGTCGTGAGGAATTATGAACGATTCTGAAGAAGCTTGTCTCTGGTGACCGACAGCAACGACGACAACAACATCTACAGCTAGGCTTGTCTGGTCCTCGGCTCCTTTCCTCGGCTTGGCTTGACTAGGCTTGGCTGATTCTGTCGTTCGAAAAACAAACTGGATTCGAGGCTGCGAGAAATATGAATGAAGAGCGAAAGCTCGTCAGCTGCTTCGCGCTCTCGAGGCCGGATATGTCCTTTTGTCACTTATGAGAGAGGCGAGGGGAGTTAGAGCTACAGCAGTTCAAGGACTGCTGCTGCTACCTACGTCTCTGCCTGCCACACTCTCTCGCGAGCTGCCTTCCGCGTGTCAGACTTGCAAGAGTGACTTGACTTGGCTGCACAGGCACGAATTCCCGATTCTCCGGCCAAGTTGCACCCACTCGCAGTCGGAAATCGATTGCCAGACGAGTCCGGTGGAGAGGTACGACCGGGCCTGGTCCAGAGAGAGTCAGAGATCAGAGATCCTGGCAGGGCATCGACAATCACAGGTGACGAAGGAATGAAGGGAGAGAGAGAAGGGGAGAGAGAGAAAGAGAGGAAGGAGCGATGGAGCGATGGAGGGATGGAGGAGGGGACCCCACTGTATCACAATGTCATCATAGTCGGACGGATGATGGATGGCGGTACAATCCGAGCTCGATACAACTCTACAGCAATGCCGGCGATGAATGAGCCGAGGGAGGAATCGAGGAAGGAGAGCCAGGCCTAGGGACTTCAATCAAAAGTGCATCGAGACACTTGAGCTCTCTCCTCCTGCCTGCTGCGTGCTGACATCGGAGCATAGCAAGACATGAAGATGCAAGCCGACCAGAGGAAGAGACGTCGATTCTGCAGGAGCTGACTGCTGTCCTTGGTGGCTTTGAATGGTGCGTTGCTGCCGCTGAATCACTCAGCGTGATACATCTCCAGGAGAGCTCAGAGAGAAAATGCTTGAGGCCGTGAGACAGAAAGCATTTATGAAGTATCCGAGTCGACACGTGTGAAACGCACCCACTCCATATCCCAGACCTCGGCCTTCATTTACTGCACATCGCCATCTCTCGCCTCGCCTTCAAGCTACTCTACTGTTGTGTAGCTTGCCGCGCCACCTCCCACCCTCCATAACATTTACAGTTGGTGCCATCCTGGAGTCCTGATTATGCAGTTCCCGTTCTAGATACTTCTCTCTTTCCATTCGCACTCTACAGCAGCAGCTACCGTGGACCCGGTGCATTCTTCCTTTCCAGCCTACGCATAATTAAGGTGCTTGTTACAAGTACAGCACTTCCCAACGAACTTTACTCTCTCCCCGATTAATTCCTTTCTGTTCATGTAATGCACCCTCTCAACTGCTCGTCTCCTATAATTTGTACAAGGACCTCATGGCTGCTCGTCACATTGCTCGCCCGTCATACTCGTTCTAGGCGTCATGAGTACTGCGACTCGTAGACTAGAAGTGCTCGCTGACACGTGAGATATGGTGCTGTAGTAACGATGTTCCCGGCAGTTCAAACCACTAAGATGCCGTGATGATGCGTCAAACGTTAAGATTCTCGAGCCACACGCTAAAGGATGGAGCATGATCGAATGTTAACAGACATTTTAAGTGCGCCTCCCACTTCCAAGGCTTACAAGTGAAGATTTTAAGACCTCGATTAGAAAAAAGAAGGAGACACATTTGTAGACACATTGCAAACTTTGGCCTATCATACAGTTTCATCAAATAATAGTTTCACTTCTTTTGCTCGGTGTTTACGACTTCTGGTTGGTTCTGTCACCCAAGTCGATACAGTTATTGATTATTATCCAGACTCACTAGATAAACAAAGAAGAAGTTCTAGGATCAAAGTCTCCAAAGAAATGTAAAAATTGGTTCCGTAAATCAACAAGGCATTCAGGAGTAAGTGTGTGGACAACGTAAACCTAAACCAGGACTTGATCGTGGTGCGGATTGCAACTCGATACCGGAAGCAAGTAAGTTGTTCTTGTTCTCGACTCCTGATTCATTCTTCCCAGCATCTGCTGTTTGTGCCAATGGGAGGTCCCCGGTCTCAACGAGTGATTATCGAAGTGAAAATCACAGATTACGGGCAAGTAAAGTGTGGTGTTCGCGGATGACATCTTAGACCACGCTGTGATAAATGTCAGGAACGAAATTCAAATGGTTCTTAGATAGAAATAGAGACCTCTATATAAGTTTTTACCAAGAAGTCACAACGTTGTAAGAACCTTGTGACTTCATTTTCATCATAACCTTAAATTTCCTGAAGTACCAAGTACTCGGCATAGGCCAACATTTTACTTCAAATTTGTACCCAGACCAGACCATAACCATCAGCAGCCACCTATGACCACCCATAGCATTACCTGAGCCCACCCATGCATGCTATTCAAATTACGCCATTGTGTTCTGTGTATTACCCGGGTAAACCAATTCTTGGTTGGATCTGACAAACACTGCCCATAGCATTACTTGTGCCCACCCATATAAAAGTAATGTCACCCAAAACCCACCCAAAAAAACCCGATTTTTGTAAAAACAATTTCGGTTACGGGCCAAAACCCATGGGCATGGGCACCCAATGTTGGGCTCTGCTATTCGGACAACGTTAGGCCATGTTTTATAATGCTTAGAGCTCCGTTGTTCTCAAGTCCCGAAATGTGGTCCTGGAGTAAGGCCAGATAATTCGTAATCCCAGGCTTGCGAATCCCTGGACATTTTTCTGCATTTTGTAACCCTTTCCACTTGTCGTCGTTCGGAGTTTTTCCTCGCGGTTACCTGAATTTCTCATGTTTTGAACATAGGATGAGGATAGAATAAACAACCTCTCTAGAGGCAAGGTGGAGTCTTTACTAGATATATGTTTTCTTAGACATCACACTAATATATTCGGTCAAAATACTTCACCTTAAAAGATTCCGTTCGCTGCCATAATTCATCGAGCGCATTTCTCAGAAATGCAGACCGTGGATGAAAGACAAATGGCATTATCAGCAGCAATCATTGATGTTGTTCTCCCAATGTGCAGTTGGAATGGATGACTTTTGTTTCATGATGCACATGTTATGTACACGCCAGTACGAGGTTTCCGACCTTCAAGCACTGATCAAATGGTGAGACCTGAGGGACACTTCACTGCATGTTCAAATTGTGGGTCACTGACTCGCAATGACATAAATTCGGGATACGATAGCGATTATTTTCGTACCAGCACCAAGCTTCGACGACATTTCCCCCCATTGATGACCCCGCGAACTGTTCCCATATGTCTAGTGGTAGATGCAATATTAAATCTCGTGTGCGTGCTTATTCCTCCCAAGTCAACCCAGCCTGCTGTTGCTATAAATTTGTTGTTGAAATCAACGAGTTGTTTGTACAGTATCTTATTATATTCTGTTCACAATGTTTCTGTCGTCGAAGCAACATGGGGGCTAGCTTTTGCTCATCCACGTGGAACGATGCGATCAGGGTACAGGCTGCGATGGAAACATTGATGTACCTGGAATACATTTTTATTTCTTTGTAAACCAGACACAGGATAATCGCCGTTCACAACTCCGGCAAACACTGAGCAGATGATCACGAGAAGCCAGCACCGAATTTAGTATTTCACAACCTCAGACACGTCTTACAATCTTAATCTCCTGCTCTTGACAATGCACGGGTGTGATGATGATTGTAATCATGCACCGTTCCTCTTCTAGTAATAGAAGTACTGTACTGATCATGACCATTAATAGTCCATAACCTCATGCTCCTTTAATATAACTTTATTCTCTCAAAGTTCTTCAAAGCAGAGCCGCTCGAGATCGATGAGCCTAAACTTGCAGCTCACTCTGATATCTGGAGTCTGGACCACAAGGAAATTGTAAAAGCTTCCAAAGTTGACCTTGTGAAAGGTCGTCATCACTCGACTTAGTACGATGTGTAATCTAAGAGTTTTTCATCGAAGCTCCCCCGCCTCAACAGAACCACATCCAGCAATTCCCGGACTCCATGTGCAGACCACGTTGGTGCATGGTGGGGCTACGTCTCTCGATGCAAGCTCTATGAAGGTTGTGTAGAACTACCCCCCAACCGCCACAACTTGCGACTTACTAGATGTCACTCACTCACTACCAGTTGACTGATTCAGACTCGACATCCTCGTACTTTCTAATCGGCAACTACAACTCGACAACATCCATAACGTCTGAGATCATACTGATCTACGTGAGGTCCACCAGAGCGGTTTATCTATACAGTTAGCCGACATTGCTTCCAATTTTCAACTTGTCCCCGGGCCTTTTACAAGCACAGAGAGTGGATTGAGTGTTTGGAATCCTTTGAACTAAGGGATAGGAGGATCCGTGTCGAAAGTCGTTGTCATGAAAAGACATGATAAAGATTTAATTCCACACTTTTGAAAGCGAGGAAGCTCTTTTGCTTCCTCGCTTCTCATCTTCTACGTATTGGACGAGAGTCTTTAACATGGCTCTTTACTTGTTTCGAGTTTGTACTTTTGCACTGGCAAAGACGATGGTGCACAATTTGCTCCTCCACGTTCACGAGTATGGAAGAATATTTGTGTGGAATTTTTGCCTATGCCTTCTCAAGAAGTGAAAAGATTTTTAACAGGGAAGTATGTTTGCAACTTTCACCGGGACATCTGAATCTTGTGAGTTGGGACGACCAGTTGTGTGGACGCTGTAGCAGTCCAGGTACCAGAAACTACGCTAGGCTTGGTACAACGACAATAGGTCGTCGTGGTCCTTTCCTTCAGCCAATGAAATTCCAGCCTAAGTACTCTGGTCGTCAAGATCTCATCATCTTTGGCACCACCTTCAAAGCTAGGGGCTTGTATAAGTATTTCGTCCCAGCATTTTGCCCGCACTCACCATTCACATCCGATTATTAATCCGTCCTCTAAAAACTAGCTTGTGTAATCCCATGTGCTCGCAACTCGGTGGCCCGATCCCAGGTCTTCTGATATCATGTTCCTGATTGTTTTATAAATCTGTTACCGCGATCTGTTTTTATTACTACGCTTCGGTACGACCTGAGTCATAATGCATTTGGTCTATAAGAGTATCGATGATGGGAAAAAATTAAAAATAGGGATTGAGAGAAAAAGCTTGAGAATCCCGATGCTTATCATGACCATGCATAGGTACGCCTATCTTCGGATTCATGCATTTAGTCCTTCACTTTATTTCAGATGAGAGCAATTATGAGAAACCACACTGTGGACTTCATGCTCCGATTTATTCCCTACGTGAATTGCTCCTGAATACAATAACACGTTATTCTCTATTAATATACGATCAAGAGAGAATATAGAAAACCTTGCGAGATCTTATGGCTTTCAGTGTTTGCATGGTGGAATAAAACTTGTCAACTCTTATCTTCATGCCCGGTTCAGTGGACATTGTTCCACTTGGGCCATGAATAAGTCTTGCTCTTCAATTTGAAGGTGGAGTGTATTATGTTGAGCAAAAGTCATTACAGCGAAAAGAAGTATCTGTCGAATTATTCTCGTATGAATTATTGCAACGAGGATGAAGAAATCACTCAACCAAATGGAATATGATCACTCAACATCGTACGTAGTGCACAAGCAGTGGCAGAAGGGACAAGAGTGGTCAAAGGTACCGAGCAATAAATAGCGCAGGTCTGCAGAGAATAAGTTCACTGTCCTTTGGAGATTCGAGATCTGAAACTCGCAAACGGGGTAGGTCCATGGGGTTCAATGCTACCGTAGCCGATACAGACAACAGACTCCGCCTCTGCGGCACGAGCTGCTTTCGAGAGAGTACTGCACTGCTGCACTGCAAGCAGTCGCAGCTCACAAGACTGGGATGTTGTAATTTTGACCTCTTCTCCGATCAGGAGACGATGGTCGGCTGCGTTATCTTCTCCGACCTATCGGATTGAGCTTCTATAGGATTAAACCCTTGACCTGAACTCGGCGACTGACGGCCGAGATCCATACGAAGACTTGCACCCCGACTGAGCCTGTGGACCATCGCCAGCAGTGCTTGCTTCTTCCGTTGGTTATGGTTTCGGTTGCTTGAGCTTCCCTCTAATTATTCCTTTGGCATCTCGGGGATCACCGAGAGAGAGATGGATAGAGAGACCTGGACAGGTCCATCTTACGCACTTATCAGGTGGGCTGTGTGTCAGTGCGGGGAGAAATTCTTCGGGTACTTGCTTCGGTGAGCTGGCTGGCTGGTCGGTCTATGCCCAAAAGGGCACCGTACCCGGCCACCGAAAACCTTCATGAGTTGAGCCTACAAATCGTTGAAATC